GTCGACCATGGCGCTTTGTTTCCTTTATACCATGACCGTGGCAGCTAATATGCTCTTGTGTGCTTCTGCTAGGCAAGGTTCCCAATGAACACCGCAGGACTCCCCACCAGCAAGTCATGTCCAAACTCGACCGTCGAAACCAGGCCAAGCAACGTCAGGCCACCAAGCACAAGGAGCACCAGCGCGAGACCTCTGTCTTTGCTGGCCGAGACGGTGCTCCTCGCAACGTTGCCGTCATCCCGCTCTGCGCCGATGGAGACGCCACGGCCGCTGTTCGTTATCTGAACCAGAGTCTCGACCTCGACGATGAGGTTGCGCTTGGCACCACCCGCGTGTCTGTGGATCGTTTCAAGCAAAAGCTCCAATACATTGCTCTGCCCCGCGATCTGTCCGCGTGTTTGGATGCTGCACGCGTCGCCGACTTCGTGGTCCTCATTCTTTCTGCCGATGTCGAGGTGGACGACCTGGGCGAGCTGATCCTCCGGAGTGTCGAGAGCCAGGGTCTGTCTACGCTTTTCACCGTCGTGCAAGGCCTCGGCAAGATCGAAGTTGCCAAGCAGCGCAACTCGGTTCTCGACTCCTTGCGATCATACATCACCCACTTCCACCCCGACCAACACAAAATCTACAGCCTCGAGAACAGACAAGAGTGTTCCAACCTGATGAGGTCGCTCTGCAGCACGACGCCCAAGGGTATCAAGTGGCGGGACGACCGTAGCTGGATGCTGGTTGAAGACGTCAAGTTTGGTGACTCGGACGAAAGCACTACAATTGTCACTGGAGTTGTTCGAGGCAAGGGCCTGAAGGCTGACCGCCTCGTGCAAGTGGGAGACTGGGGTACTTTTGCGGTTGAGAAGATCACTTCTGCGCCACTATCGAAGCGCGGCAAGAAGTCTGATGAAGGCATGAACACGGACGAGGAGATCGAGAAGCCACTGGACCTTGCGACTGAGGATCAGGACGACCTGGCTGATTTGGCGCCGGAGGAAATTCTGATGAACGATGCGGATGGTGATGTGGACCTCGACGATGCGATATCAGTAGCACCTTCAGTCAAGAAGGGCGTCTTGTTGGACGACCACCACTACTTTTCAGAAGATGAGGAAGACCAGACCGTCGAGAAGAGGAGGGTTCCCAAGGGTACATCAAAGTACCAGGCAGCCTGGTATTTGGACGATAACGTCTCCGAATCAGGCTCGGACATGACGGATATCGAGATGCAGGAAGAGGAAGAGGACGAGGACGCTATGCCAGAAGACGGCCTGGAGGGCATGGTGGCGGCGGAGGATGGCCAAACCGAGGCTGGACCTTCGGAATACCCCCGCTCGGAGGCTCCCTTCATGGAACTCGACGATGACGAAGATGCAGCACAACTGGCCCAGTACAGATCAAAGAAGAGGAATGAGGCTGAGGATGATGTTGAGTTCCCAGACGAGATTGAGCTTCACCCTCACGTTCTCGCCCGTGAGCGACTGGCCAGATACCGTGGACTGAAGAGTCTCCGGTCCAGTCCCTGGGAGCAGGACGAGGACAGAGCGCACGAGCCAGAAGAGTGGCGGCGTCTGCTGCAGGTCCAAAATTACCAGTCGTCTCGCGTCCGAGCTATCCGTGAGGCTCTTGTTGGAGGTGTGCAGGCGGGTACTCGCGTCCACGTCTACATCAAGAATGTTCCAGCGGACGTCAAGGCTAGCTACAACCCGGAACGTCCCACGCCGCTGTTCTCGATGCTCAGACATGAGAATAAGCGGGCAGCAGTCAACTTCCTCATCAACCTGAGCTCAGACTATCCCAAGGCGATCAAGGCCAAGGAGGAGCTGATCATCCAGTACGGCCCTCGCCGACTCATCATCAACCCCCAGTTCTCGCAAGCCGACAACACCCCCAACGATGTGCACAAATACTGCCGTTTCCTGCACCCTGGCCAGTCTGCGGTAGCGACATTTATGGGACCCGTGATTTGGGGCTCTGTGCCGGCACTCTTTTTCAAACGGTCTGCGCCTGACGAGGACAAGGGCGAGGACGAGTCTGACCTGCCTCTTACGCTCATTGGCACTGGTACCGCTATGCAGCCGTCCACGTCTCGTGTCATTGCGAAGCGCATCGTCCTGACCGGGCACCCCTACCACATTCACAAGAAGATTGTTACCATTCGGTACATGTTCTTCAACCGCGAAGACGTCGAGTGGTTCAAGGCACTGCCTCTGTGGACCAGGAGAGGCCGTAGCGGGTACTTCAAGGAGCCTCTTGGCACGCACGGATACTTCAAGGCTACCTTTGACGGTCGCATCAACCCACAGGACAGCATTGGTGTCAGTCTGTACAAGCGGGTGTGGCCTCGCAACGCTACGCCTGTTCGCGGATCCCTTCTCGATGCTTCCGAGATACCAGTTCTTGTTGAGAATGACGACGATGAGATGGTGGACTGAGCGGTATACGAGCGAGGCAAGAGCACTTGGATGAATTCATGACAAGGCGTTGACGGGGAAAATGGTTAATTAGATACACACTAGAAACTCGGCTCTAGAGAGAGGCAGTACCTACTGGGTTGTTGAATCTGAATCGATACTCTTTCTTTTGACTTTCTGTTTCATATATGCCCCGGTCAAGATGAGTCTCTCCATCCTAAAAGTTACAATCAGTTCAGAGCGTCCAGACCTGGCGTGGGCGTTGGTCCGCCCTTTGACTTTTGCACATCCTCGGCACCACTCGCCCGCCACGCGCTGAGTATCAAGTTGACAATATGGTCCACGCCCACATCCTTCTTGACCTGCGCAAACACCGTCGGCCCACCCTCACGCATCTTGCGTGCATCTCTCTCCATGACCTTCAAATCCGCACCCACGGCCTCCGCCAAATCCGTCTTGTTCACCACCAACAAATCACTCTGCGTGATTCCTGGGCCGCCTTTTCGCGGGATCTTGTCGCCTCCACTGACATCAATCACGTAGATGATGAAGTCCGCCAACTCGCGACTATAGTTGGCCGCAAGGTTATCCCCACCACTCTCAATCAGCAGCAAATCCGTGCCAAATTCGCCATGCAGATCCTCCAGCGCCGCGAGGTTGGCGCTGATGTCCTCGCGCACCGCAGCATGAGGACACCCGCCCGTCTCGATTGCGCGGATGCGGTCCGCAGGGAGCGCGCGATGCCGCGTGAGAAACTCGGCGTCTTCGCGCGTGAAAATGTCGTTGGTGACGGCGGCAATGTTGTACTTGGCGCGCAGGGCCAGGCACAGCGCCAGCATGAGGGCTGTTTTGCCTGATCCGACGGGCCCGCCGATGCCGATTGTGAAGGCCCGCGATGACCAGTTGCGACCTGAGACGATGGGCATTTCGCGGCCAAGGTAGGAGCCGGGTCCCGTGAGAATCTCGTGCGTGTGGCCGTGTTCTTGGGCGTTGAAGCCGGAGGAGGGGCCGTCGTGGCTGTGGGAGTGGTGGCTTGCGCCGTCGTGGGAGTGAGTGGCCATGGTGAGTGGGTGTGCTGTTGCTGTTGCTGTTGCTGCTGATGCTATGTTTCTTGGTTATGAAGGTGACAAGTTGGTGTAGTATCGATTGGCCGGTGGAGAGGATTCCAAAGTTGATATCAAGGCGTTGTGGTGAGATGTTTACGGATGCTGAAGAAGATGTCGACCCTGCAGTTGATCACACTTGTTCCTGGTGAGGAGCAAAAAGAGGTGAGGAGCAAAAAGAGATGTAGCTGAGCTTGATAAGCAAGTGAGAAGTATGCTGTACCAAGTCCAAGACGTGGCTGCAGCTGCTAGAGACTCTGTGACCTGATGGAAAAAAGCAAGAGAAAAAAACGCGTATGTGTGATGATTAGCTCTTGTGGAGGGGCTCACCACCAGTGGCTGATAAAGCGTGGGGTAACTTGCAGGTTCTCGCTACAGTCTGGAGCTTATGTGGGGTTGGTCAGGGTCCAATTAACGTTACCATGGGACAGGGTGCAGGTACTTGGGTACTCCAGTACAAAGTACTCATGATATCAATCATAAAACACAACGTCCAGCTATCAAAAGTAGTAAATGCCAACAATTCATCTCTTCAGATCACCAGGTAGATTATTATTTCGCCGTAGATTGTTATTTCCATGTAAATTGTTATTTCACCGTTCATCGATTAGTGAATTGAGAAGTTGCAATCCTTGTCATTTCAGTTATACAAACATGGCTACTTGAACATAATGCCGTCCAAAGCAGCTAAAAATGTTGATATCGAAACGGAAATCAAGCTGGGAGAATTATTGGGGAAACTGGGTAGTGATGAAGGATTGGAACACTTCAGTCGCAAGAACTCAAAGATAGTAATGTGCTGCTTGAAATATCGCAATAAGCAATGTAAATATCAAGTCTTGCTTCTACGTGAGCAAGTATATACCGGCTCTAGAAATGCTTACAAATAAAGCCGAGCTGGATCTCGAGGTTGCCGGAAAAAAACTGATCTGAAGGCTGAATATTTCTTTCAGAGAATCTGAACGGCAACTGTGCACGTCCTAGCATTCATCCAGAGCGTCGAACGCAATAAGATGCGTTTGTACAATGCAGTCACTGATCGGCGTGTGTCTGTGATTTCCTGGACTGGCGTATGAGATCTTTCCTGATATTCTCCACATAGCGCACTGATCTTGTTGGACAAAGTCGATTGTTGTTAGTCAAGTTGCTTCAATATTCTCACCAACATTTTCGCCGTTGTTTGAATGCCTTGCGTCTTAAGAGTGTAGTAAAAATAAGTAACACCAACGCTTTCGTCGGCGTAGAAGCGTTCGGTAAGGTTGTCGACAATGATCGATGCCCCACCTTTTACAAAGAGGCTAGGCCATCACTGTCAAAAGCATACCGCACTCCGCAACGTCGACAGCCGTGGCTAGCCGCTCTTTGCTGAACAGAATCCAACGACCAAAACGATAACTGAAAAATCGAAATCATACTTCTGTAAAGCTGAAGGACTTCTTTTTAGAGAATGAACAAACTCCAAACAAAAACATCCAAAAAGAGACGGGAATTGAGCCCGACGTGGGGGTCGAACCCACAGCCTTAAGATTGACTAATCAGAGTCGGAAGACACTGTAAGAGTCTTACGCTCTACCGATTGAGCTAGCCGGGCGTCTTTCGACGCTTGTTGTTGAAGTCTGGTTTCAGAAACTTACTTATGTACACTCAAATGTTTTCCGCTCTGGTATGGAGATTACATCGGACATGGCATCGCATATCCTTTCCGAGAAGTCCTCAGGCTCAACTAGCGATCACAAACTTCCAGAAGAATTGTGTTGTCATGGCACCAAGCTGTTCAACCATGGAACTATATAATCCGAGACAATGGCCTATCGCTGAACTTCAAGTTACTCAAATGTATCTTATGTATGAATGATTAGTACAGAGTTGCCTCAATCGAATCATTTACTTCGGCTTCGTGTTTGAGTTTGTTACATATTTAAATTTCTCTACTCAAACCATCATCCCAAACTGTTTGGGTCTAATCGTGTCTGGGTCTAATCGTGCTTGTCACGCGAATCATACATTTCTATTTTTTGTTTGGCTAGAACCATCCAACAGGAGCAACCAGTTGAACATAGACACCTCGTACCATAACGGATTTTATGCATTAATTATATGGTAAAATGACTATGTTCGAGGAATATGTTTGACCTTTTCACGCCCGGAACACTTGACTAGAAATTACAATTCTGCGAAGCCAAAACAGCGCTAGTATTCTCCACCATCGAAGCACTCTTTTTGTAGTAGAAGTGGTCCTGCCTACACCGTCCTCCCTTGTCCACTAGGAAGAGTAGAGCTCAGGATATGTTGCCTTGATATAGTCGGCTCCCTAGACTCACTGTTAGCATCAAACTCGCAACGAACAGCACCCGGGCACAATTCCAGACTTACCTTTTCACCAATCATGTAGACCGAATTTTGGATCCGACAGTCCGGAATGACCGGAATCACCGAAGCATCAATCACCCGCAGCTTGTCCACGCCAAAGACCTTCAACTTGTTGTCCACAACGCCCTGCTCGACATCCTTGCCCATGCGCGTGGTACCACAAGGGTGGAAGCCCGTCTGCGAGCGCTCCTTGATCATCGTCTCCATGGCAGCGTCCGACTGCCGCGGCATAGGCCACGGGTAGTCCTCACCAATGATATCCTTCATGCCTTTGCCATTCATCAGCACATCGTCCACATAGCGCACGCCCTGGCGCAGCGCCACCAGATCGAGCCTGTTCGAGAAGAAGTTGAGGTCCACTTTGGGCTGCTCGAGCGGATCCCGCGACTGCAACGTCACCGTTCCCGCGCGTGAAACGGGCCGCAGCAAGTCCACGATAACTGTCAACCAGTCGCCCTCAGGCGGGCAGGGGATGTGCCACTGGAAGGCATCCGAGAACATGGGCACAAAGTCGATTTCAAAGTGTGGCTGGCCTCCAGGGCCGAAAGGGTCGACGCCGCCGTTGGCCTTCTTGGCCGCGGCGTACTCGGGGTCTTTCTCGAGCCACTCGTCGATGCGCGGCAGGCCGACCAGTTCGAGTAGGCCGCTGGTGTAGGGACCCTTGTTCTCTGTACTGTAGGCTGCTACGGCGGCGTCGTGGGCTGGGCCTGGACGGAGGATGTGGCTGTCGAGGCCGAGGCCGTCCTTGAGGCGGAAAACATGAGGCATGATAGGGTGGTCGCTGGATAAGTTAGTATTGTTGAATGGCAGCATGTCAGAAAACCCAAGACTTACAGCAGGTTCTGTCCAACATGCTCAGAAACAATCACGGGCTCAATCTCAAACTTCTTGAGCGTCTCCTCCGGTCCGATACCAGACAGCATCAGTAACTTGGGCGTCTCAAAGACACCCTCGGACACAATCACCTCGTAATTTGCACGGAATGTGTACTCGTTGCCATCAGGGCCAACAACCTCCACGCCCGTCGCCTTGCCATCCTCAATAACCACCCGCTTCGAGTGGGTGTTGCCCAGCACGGCGACATTGTCCTTGCCCTTGAGGTACATCCAGCTCGACGAGCGTTTACCATTGTAAATGGAGTTTGTGCACTTCCACAGGCCGCGCATCGTGCCGCTGTGCACGTCTTCTGTGATCTCGCCGCCTTTGCTGACCCACGCCTGCTCGAGAGCCTCGCGGAAGGGCCCGAGCTCCGGGACCAGATCCGAGTGTGAAACTGGGATGGGTCCGTCTTGGCCAATGTACTTGAGCTTCTCTGGGTACTCGGAGCGGTCATCGTGGTATGTTGCTGGCTAGTGTGGCGGTTAGCATTGTATACTTGGCAAGAAAACTCACTTCACTCCGAAAGCTCGTTGATCCGGGGCCAAGACTCACCTTGTACAAGTACTCCTTGACACCCTCCCAACTCCAGTCCTCGCCACCATACTCGACCCAGTCATTAAACGTTGCCGCCGAGCCCGGTATCCACGTGTAATAGTTGAGGCAGCTGCTGCCACCGAGGACTTTACCACGAGTGTTTGGCTTTTCCACGCGTGTGTATTCGGGCCGGTTGATCATGGACGTCTTGTACGCCCAGTCGTGCTTGCTGCCCCGCAGTTCAAAGGCTCGCGCCGGTGTTGTGATGGTATCAATGTCCTCTGGATTGCTGATGCCCGCCTCGATGACGAGGACATTTACCTTTGGGTTTTCAGCCAGACGGCCTGCTACGACGCAGCCTGCTGTGCCGCCTATTTTGTTGTGAGAGTCGTGGTTAGAATATGGAGGCGGGACTTGAGGCTGTGTTGAGTGTGCATTGGAAATAAACTCTGGAGATTGTCTGGCTTACCTCCCACGACTATAAAGTCGAAATTCTTGGGTGCTTCGTTGATGGAAGGCATCCTGTGATTGTGTATGGATGATGCTCGCTGGAACGACAACTGGACGGTCGAGATGGGAGCAATGAAGGAAGCAAAGATCGTCTTGAGCAAAGTCAGAAACAATGTTGGAGCCGGCAAAGTCGAATAGCGAGATGAAGCTGATTTTGAAGTGAGTCTTGTGCGATTCTGAGGAGAACCTCGTGTAGGAGGTCATAGCATGCTTATATACTCACGTACGAGTACGATCAAGACGTTGATCCCACCGATTTGATATTCAGAAGGTGCGTAAGTATATGCGTAAGTATATCCTGAACTCCACTATGACGGTATCATGGTGAATTCAGGACGTACCTTGCGTTCCATGCCAGCCAACCAGCCAGTCCGCCAGCCAGCCAGCCATTCGTCCAGATCATTACAACTGACTGCATCATTGATATCCTCCAGTGACAGGCAACAGCAAGATAAGTCACGGTAACATCGGTCCCAGCATCGGCAGGGCACTTCAAGGTTGCCATTGGTCCAGTCAGGGTGCTCCGACAAAAGGCAAAGTGGATTGCCATGTTCGCAAACCTACTTCTACGTAACAACGGTACCGAGATCAAGCAAGAATCGCATACGGGCGATACCAGGCAGCGAAGGCCAAAGAAGATAGATCAGTAAGCAAAGTAGCATTCTGCGGCTTTTCCTTTGTCCCCAGAATGGCTTGCGTCTTGCTCAGATGGAGCCGAAGAAGCTTGTTTCCCACCGTCTCCACGGGAGATTCCGAGGTTTGTCTTTCGGCATTTGGCGTACCACGGTGTCAGTGCTCGAGAAAGGCTATGACATGTTTGGTTGGGTCCTTCATCTCCAGCCAGGTTGATAGGCTGAATCCAGGGCTGTCTCGAAGTCTCCAAGAATAAACGTCCATGTGGCGCCCCTGCTGATGGACGGTGACAGTCCCCACATTTGACGTCTTACTTGTGACAGCTGCCATGACGCACGCTGCAGATGAGTGCCCTCAACGCCGAAACGGTGCACGCTTGCAACGCGGCTTAGCAATCCAGACTCCAGACTGCCATGCCGGAAAATGGTATTTTCAATCTCGTTGCTCCCTATCACATATTCTTGGATTGTCCAAGACTTCAAATTATTGCCTACTTGGCTTGTCAGTTGCGCTTTTCGGCTTTTGTTCGGATAGTCTTCCCAGTACTGCACTAGGCTTATCTCCGAAAGGCAAGCAGTCATAAAGCAGTGACAATGACGCTAACTGGATCCACCAGACCGTCGAAGCCATGTCTGGTTTGAGAGGGACTTTATCGCATCGGTACAATCGATGTTGGTATTTTCAAAACGTGCGACATGTTGATAATGTCGTCCTACATATCAAAGGAGGCTTCGATATCTAGCGTATATGGAGAAAGTAAGACACCAACTCGAAAAAAAATTCAAGACAGTGTCTCTTGACCACGTGCTACGGTTTGAGCCGTGCAGATCAACAATAATTTGCTTCTGTCCCTCAACGTCAATATCCACGGACAACCGCCACGTCAAACGAACCAAAGCAGTCAGTGTAACACGAATTTGCACATAAATAATGAGATAAAGCACTCTCTTTTCCCTCAGAAGTTCCAAGTCGAACCAATCTAGTATGGATATGCTCGCTAACACCCTTTGGAATGTCTTCTCGATATTATTCGTACCTCATATCGTATTTCTGCAACTCCCATCGTCTTGACTCAATACGACAAGCAAACCTTCCCATCGCCCACACAAGACCATGCCTGTAATAAAGAACTTCAAACCTCGAATTGACATGTATCTCATAATCATCAGTACCAGAATCAGAACAAAAATAGTAATTCCCCCCCAAGCACAAACAGAACACTATTCTTCACCGACCTTTCGCTGACTCCAGATTCTAAACTCCACCAGCTCTGATACCCTCATGCTCTACATTTACAGTGAAACGTCTCTCGTCAAGACATCCACCTACTGTAGGCAACACGATACTGGGTAGCCTTTGCTATAGCACAGAGCCCCCCCCCCCCAAAAAAAAACCCAGAAAAAACCAGAAAAAACCATCTGTAGTTATTTACAAGTAAAATGACTAAACTACTCAAGCGTTGAGATAGGTATAATCCAGTATCATAAGCTGATGGAGTACGGGGACGGATGAGCATTATGTCATGTGTTTCTCACCGGTCAGATTTGTCTCCCGATATATCTGAGTTAGGTCTACAATCAAAATCTGCAAGGAATTTGAAGCAACAAGCAGTTGAGAGAATATGAATCAGTCATGCAGATCAATTGACGTCCAGTAGGAAGTTAA